ACATTGCTTCTATATGGTTCAGAGACTGCATGTCACCAAAAACATTTCCAATGGCCTGCTGCAGACTTTTACCAACAATTGTCTTCGCTTCCTAGACACCGAAGATCAGATGGTTAGTCGAACAAGACTAGGGACATGAAACTCTGAAAACGAACCATTCAAGAAACCTGTAGTTAAACAAATATGAGGAAGAATATGGAGATGGAACGGACACACTCTGAGAAGACTGAGACTGGGGCGGAGGAGATCGACTGGAGAGGAAATGAAAGCATATAGGCTACTGAGTAGCAACCGAAAGAGGACTGCAGAGAACAGGACAGAACAGCGGGAATGTGCTGTTGAAACCCAGTGTTCCATTCGAAACCCCAGTGGATAATAATAAGTCCTTTCACCTACCTACATATGTTGTTGCAACATTCAATTTTGAATGCAATCCCGTTAATAGATTTAGTTAATTACTTCTAAGTACTGCCATATTTATCTCCACTAGGCATTTATTTATCCGCCAATGAGGGAAAACAAACCTTTTTTCAGTGAAAGGAAATCCTCCTTTCAACGACTTCATTCTACTGCTCTATATTACATAAAAAGGCAGTAAGTGACACTAAAACTTGCTTTAGCATATACAAATACGATCAAAAAAATAATTAATATGACTGTTAAGTAAGAGGTATGTTTAAAGTGGATAAATTACAGAATTACAAAAGGTTATTAAAGAAATGGGTTGAAATTAAGAGGTTTATAGTAAATCAAGTACCACTAAGTCCCTTTTTACCTACAGCTTTAAACATCAAGAGAGAGAGAAGAAGGAGAAATATGTCTTTCTTATGAATGAGTGAATGTGGATATTTTTTCATTTTAAGAAGGAAAAGCTATTTATATCCCAATTGTAATGCCAACCAAAATAAGAATTTCAATGAAGATTTCGTCAGGAAGCGACACTAGCTATATAAGCAGCGAAAACCCAAAATCACTAAACAGTTGTTTCGTCTTCGTTCAGGACTTTTTAGTAACGCACACTGATGAGTCGAACAAAGGACCATGATGTAGTTTCGTGAATTAACAGAACTTAGTTATCCCGGGATACCGAATTACAACTCAGTGGCTGAATAGTTGACGAGCTGCCCTAATAACCTGAAGGTCCTGATACCAGTTCCTGGGGGGTTATGCGTGCACACTGATGAAGAGTCCCAAAGAAGGAGGACAAAACAGTGAATCAGTGATCCTTGGTTTTCAGTTGTTCTCTAAGTGATGCTGTTTGGTGACCAAATCCGCACCGAAACTAATCGAACCCCCCCCCCAAAAAAATTAATCTGAATAAAATTATTTCTTATTTGGGAGAGTAAAATACCGAACATTTTAATAATTTAGATATTTATAAGTGACACTGTATGATTCCGCAATAAGTCATAATCACCTGTCAAGACTGCAACAAAGTAAAATTCTATAGTAACCTGTTAGATTATTATAATTTTATAATGAGATTATATTCATTCCTTTGCGTTTCAAGTACAGCACAGGACTTTAATCTTTGAAGTTTTGGTAGCAGTTGTATTGTTTTTTTTCGGGGTAAGGTTGCTAGGCTCACACCTAACACTCACTCTTTTCCTGTGCTTACTATGGACTAGTAAGCCAGGCGAGGTTTAGAAGTGTCTCTTTGGAGAGTTGAGCTGCGTGGCTGACGAACATTCTACCACTCAATCACTGATGCTTGATATTAGGACTATTATACCTTAACAATGTCCTACTAGCATATAGCTAGCATTATCTATATCGCGTAAATAATCTGTCCCACACAGAATGAAGAATAGATATTTTAATTTTCTTATGTTTGAGTCATATGGTGCGCAGACGGCACTTTTTCCGTGGCATTTTTTCCTTCACGTTCCCCAGTGGAACATAGGGCTTCAAGCTAGTGGCTTGAAGTTTCTGTAGCAGTGTTTATTTTACAGGATGGGGTTGCTAGCCTCATGCCTTTCCTCTTTACCATCATTGTTTCCGGCTCACCGAGGTAAAGGAATGCGCCGGCCGGTGATCGAACCCCGGACTATGTGCATGGCCAGCGAGCGTCCTAACCGGTATACCACCGACGCACCTTTCCGTGGCATAGTATGTTCATTATTCGTTGTGAATGGTGAGTGATAGTCATTTCTGTTTACATGAGAGGGTTGGCTGGAAGTTAGAAATATATACTGTATCCCATTTCAGAACTCCAGAAGAATCACATTCGATACACATTATGTCACGTTTCCCGTTAACCATCATAGGCTAACGTGTTAGTAGAATATATTCGCGTCAATATTATTTCACAACTTACTTTTGTTACCCCGCTGTTATAAACCCTAAGAATTGGAATCAGGTATTATTGAGGTATGCTTGTGGTTGGTTTCGCTACTGGTTTTTAGAAGACTTCTACAGTTTATGAGTTGACTTCCGCGATAATTTTCGCTAACTGAACTATCTTAATTTACTTGAGGCTTTAGAAAGCTTTATGTATCAGCACAAATTAACAAAAATTACCCGTGTCATCATGTCACATTTTATTATCAATCAAACTGATTGCCAATTATGGGTTTAGTTCATCTCTGTGTGATTCATACTTATAGTTTTTCACACCAATCAGTTAATGTCTAAACATGAGATGAAATAATATGAGAAATCATGTGGTTAACATTTCCTATCATCCTAATCCTCATTGTAGGAATCAGTCCTATAACATTATCTTACATTTCACAGAGATGAGGTGTTATTATTGTTCCCTTGGGTTCCTAGTGGAACATAGGGCTTCAACTACACGCCTCCACTTGCTTCTGTCTTCTGCTGTACTTTTCACATGCATCCATGTTAGTCCATACTGTTTCAACTCCTCTTCACATGATCTCCTCCATGTCACCCTTGCACTGACGTCCCACTCGCCGCTTCCCTTTCGGCTTCCACTCGAGCTATGACCTGACGCGCGATGTCACCCAGCGAGTGGCCTCCTCAGCCAGCGAGTGTTCAATCCATATCCACTTTCTCCTGCATATTTGTTGGAGCGATTGGTTCTTGTATTGTTTGTTCCCATAGTTTCTTGTTGGCGATTCTTTCCGGCCATCTGATCTTCAGTATAGAACGAAGACAGCTGTTGATAAAGGTCTGCAACAGGCTGTTGGAAATATTCTTTGTGACCCACCAAGTTTCTGATCCATCCGTATAGAAGAACTGACTTGACGTTTGTATTGAAAATCCGAATTTTGTTGTTGATGCTGAGTGACGAAGATTTCCAGATTGGTTTCAGGTTGATGAATGTGTTTCTCGCCTTCCCGATTCTCGATTTGACATCTTCGTCCGTTCAATGTGCCTGTAGTTGAGACAATGCTCCCTAGATAAGTGAATGAAGTAACCTCTTTCAAATCCCTCCCGTTGATGGTGATTGGTGCTGGATGTTGCTGCTGCTGTTGTTGTTGTTGTTGGTTGGCTATTTTCATAACCTCCGTCTTGTCTATGTTCACCTGCAGTCCTGTCCTATCTTTGCTGCTTCTTCGACCAGTTTGTCGGTTTTCGCTTGTAAGTCTTCGATTTCGTGTCACATCAAACATAAATCATCCACACGCGAAGTCCAGGTCTTCTAGGTTCTTCATGTCGGTCCAGGATATCCCTGTCTTCTCGTTTCCCACTGTCTGACGCATAATACAGTCCAGTCCACCACAATTAGGAATATCATTGGTGATAATAAGCACCCTTGTCTGACTCCTGTGTTTACTCCAAAAGCTTCGCTGAGTTTTCAGTTGTGGATCACTTGACATGTGCCGTTGTCGTACATCTGTTGAATAAGGTTGATGAATATTTGGGGTACGCCGTAGTACTCGAGTAGTTTCCAAATTACTTCGCGGTCAACGCTGTCGAAGGCCTTCTCAAAGTCTATAAAGTTGATGAAGAGGTTTGATTGCCTTTTTTATGCTTTGTTCGATGATGATGCATAGAGAGATGAGGTGTACATCAGATATATTCCTACTTTTGCTCAAGATGCACAGAAGCCTCTGCATTCAATAAGAACTTACCATCTAGAAGCTCTTTTCCTGGTGGCAAGTCCATTCATAGGATGTTAAAACTAAACACAATTACATCTAATAGCGTAGTTATAATAAAAATACAGAAATATTGTGACGCTGAACTTCTTTGGTTGAAGACACCACTCGCAGCCACTTCGGATGTTAGCACTCCTTTATGTCCCAAAGGTCTACATGACTTTGAGTAAATATTTTGGTTGTCGCTTCCTTCATAGTCAAGTATTGACAACACACCTCTGAGTTGACTTGGCTAAGTACCCTCTACGGATCATGAAATACAACTATCCTTGTGTTCTGAAACTTGTTAAATGGTGGAAACTTGATCACTGAGTCGTGTCTGTGTCCCATTTGATCTTGAAAAGGCTATGATTCTACAACTTTACTGAAAAAATGAAAGGAAAGAATTATAAAAACAGACACCTGGTGGATAGCTCTACGTGGAACTAATTAATGCCTCTTAACTTCATGTGAACATATGCTATGACGTTTATGTAAAAAGGGTGAACAATCATACTGTTGCTTTCTCTTATTCAGTCAGTTTATTCACTGAAATATCTATCTCATCAACAGGTCAGCAGAACTTAAAAAAGAATGACTACTCTGTCAAAAAACATCAACATTTGATGGAAGAATGCTTTCAGCCTTCGTTTTGACTTGTGAAATAAGACACTAATTAGTACCATATTGACAGTTACAATAGCTAAAATTATGTCCCAGATATGGGGAAAGGCATGCAAAGAGATTATTCTTTCACATTCCTCAAGGTTAAGTCTAAGCATTTTAATCGATGATGATTATTCATCTGACTTGTTTGATAAGTGGATAAAAAACTTTGTTTTACAATTTTCAATGCATACACATTGTATTTTATGCAAATTATCATATATTGTACACAACATAATTTATAACTCTTATACTTTGCTTGATTTTGTCTTTTATTTCTTCCTGTAGGTGTTATACGTGTACGTGAAACACTTTCATCACTTGCACAAAGACCTTATTCACTACAAGTTATCGCTGAAGACTGTACTCGCCCTGTGCCTCATAGAGCTTCAGTCGGCATAACTATTGATCAAATACTTGTCGATTGTCGACCTGGATGGAAAAGTAAGTGTAATTTCAAGAATGGTGTTTTTTTACACCCATAATTTAGTTCATTACTATACGAATTTATGTGCTTTTGATGTTGTTGTGTTTTCTGAAAGCTGAATAGTTTAACTGCGAGGCTTTCATGGTTCTTCATACTGAATTAAGTGCTGAAGATGACGTCTAGAAGGACAATGAGAACTTCTCAAATAAATTATCCGGCTCAGAGAACACATGAACATCAAAAATGTCTACCTGAGCTACAAATCTGTTCTGCAGGGTTCAGAATCTATGTGTTTTTGTAATCACACTATAACCACATAACTGCAATTAAAAATAAAGTTAATTTGCACTAAAATAACTTTCTCCCAAGCAAAATACTAAGCCGCATCATCCTGGAGAGAATCAAACAAGCCCTGGATGAAAAACTTCGACCGGAACAGGCTGGATTCAGGAGAAACAAGTCATGTATTGATCAAATCGCCACATTAAGGATCATCATTGAACAATCTTGGAATGGCAGTCACCTCTCTATCTCAACTTCATCGACTTTGAAAAGGCATTCGACAGCGTCGATCGAGAGGTGATTTGGAAACTACTTCGCTACTACGGGGTGCCACCGACAATTATACATCTCATCCAACAGCTGTACGACAATGCCGCATGCCAAGTAATCCACAACGGGAAACTCACAGAATCCTTCGAAGTGAGGACAGGAGTAAGACAAGGCTGGCTGCCTACTATCTCCAATGATTTTCCTGATTGCAGTAGATTGGATAATGCGACAGACAGCTGGCCGGGCAACGAGGAAACAGGCATAAAATGGACCCACACAAAACACTTGGAGGATCTGGACTTCGCCAACGACATATGTCTGATTTCCCACAAACTGGAAGATATGCAAGTGAAAAGTAACATGTTGGCAGAAGAAGCATCAAAGATAGGACATCACTTCAGGTGAACATAGAAAAAACAGAAGTGATGAAGATTCCTGGTCAACAGCAACAGCAACAACAACAGACAACAATCAGCATAAATGGGAGGAACCTGAAAGAAACAACCTCTTTTACCTACCTGGGAAGCATCGTTTCAACTACAGGCGCACGGAACTGACGAGGATATCAAAGCAAGAATCGGGAAAGCAAGACAAGCTTTCACTACTCTCAAGTCTGTGTGGAGGTCAACAACACTCAGTATCAAAAATAAGATCCGGATTTTCAACTCCAATGTGAAGTCAGTGCTACTATACGGATCAGAGACTTGGCCAGCGCGTCATAAAGAGCATCTCAAACAAACTACAGACCTTCATTAACAGTTGTCTTCGCTCAATACTACTCAAGATCAGATGGCCGGCCAGAAAAGATCAGCAACAGGGATCTCTGGCAATGAGCGAACCAACCCAGCAGGAACTGATTGTGAAACAAATAGGCAGGAAGAAATGGAGATGGATTGGTCATATTCTGAGGAAACAAACCATCAAGTGATATCACTAGACAAGCCATTGCTCGAGTGGAACCCGAATGGGAAGCGGCGAGTTGGTCGTCAGTGCGAGGGTGACATGGAGGAGGTCATGTGAAGAGGAGATGAAAGCATGTGGGCAGACGTGAAGCCAGGTGAAAACGTTGACAGAGAACCGAACACAATGGAGACGCACGGCTGAAGCCCTATGTTCCTCTAGGAATTAAAGGAAACAATAATAAATAATATAATAATAATAAAATAACTTTCAGTCAAGATGACACTGCTAATTCCCTCTGATCTGATTAAAGTCGACAGAAAAATGACTTCACATCCCCAACAGTGTTTCTGTCATAAAACTACTCCACCTAACCTTAGTTGATTACATACTAAGATGAAGTATTTGACGTGTCCATCTTCTACAACCTCAAATTTTACTTTTTCCTAATTTAGTCACTATTGTTATCATAAAAAGTAACTTGTGTTTTTTAAATCCAACTTCTGGTTGCATAGTCCATCAATCATAATAAAAGTACGCGTGAATTTACCACGGATACCAATTTTATTACTATCTCTGTATCCGGTCTTCTTATGCATTCCGATGCCACAATATTGAGCATATCATTTTTTTTTCTTTACTTATTTCAAACTCATTTCATCCAGCTAATGACAACATTTTGTGTTTCCGGATAATCATAATAATAACAGTATGCAATAACACAATGTCACCTCATACTGAATAGTATTATGTATCACGAAATACGAAATATAAACTAAATTAATAATTGCATGGAGGATTTCATCATGAGCTGACATCACTTAGACAACCAATGGAAAACCTGGGAGTATTGGACAGCTGTTCCGTCCTAGTTTGGGACTCTTCATCAGTACGATCCCAGCCAGCCAGGACCTTCTGGTTACAAGGCGAGCTCGTAGACCGTTGAGCCACTGGGACCCGATCCAATGGTCCTTGAATTCTAACTTCTGGTAATTCACGACATAGCGCGACCATTTTGCAATGTCTTCTTAGATGAGTTACTGCCTCATCTTCAACCTACTGTACCCTACTGGTTACGGCATCCCACTAGGACCCCAGGTAACTGCCTGAATAGGGCCAGTCACTAGTGAGCATCAGATTAATTTTCAGGTATTAAGTATTAAGTCCCAAACTAGGACGAAACAGCTCTCCAGTACTCCCAGGTTTTCCATTGGTTGTCTAAGTGATGTCAGCTCATGATGAAATCCTCCATGCAATTAAACAAAATCCCTACCAAACCAATACTTGTAAATTAATAATCCCCGTTGAAACGTAAAAACAAAGAATTTAGCGAAGAAACTTCTCTTTTCGACGATTTCATTTTCATGGCTATACAATCGTATATACATATGTGTGAATAGACAATAACAATCAGTTTTCCTGTGTGTGTGTGTGTGTGTGTGTTAAAGTTTGACAGTGAGTGGAAATACTAAAGTGCTATAATAATATTGGTGTATAGGATTATGAGTCACAAGCGGATTAGATATGGGAATGAACAACTAAATAAATAGATAGAGGTCAACCTAAAGTCCAATAGACAAGTGTGAAATAGATGATCGGAAAATAAAGTACATTCGGAAATGTGAATATGTGAATATAATATGATGGAAACATGGGGATGAGTGAAATGTTGTCAAAGTAGTAGACTAGATAAAATGTTAGAATATGATAACATAAAGTGAGAAGAAATAAAACAAAATGGAACATGGAATAAAGAAGGATAACAAAGTTTTTTATGCGAATTACGTGGTAAAACTGTGTTAAGAATATTAATGGTACTGTGAAAACTGTAATAATATTGGTGTATAGGATTATGAGTCACAAGCGGATTAGATATGGGAATGAACAACTAAATAAAAAAAGATAGAGGTCAACCTAAAGTCCAATAGACAAGTGTGAAATAGATGATCGGAAAATAAAGTACATTCGGAAATGTGAATATGTGAATATAATGTGATGGAAACATAGGATGAGTGGAATGTTATTAGATGGTTGGAGGCAATCGACAGGAAGCCTTGGACCTAGGTTTCGTGCTAGTTGGCACTCGTCAGCAAGGCGTATCTGCAACCTTGAAGGAACTCATGTCCCTTCTGAGATTCGAACCAGCGTCACCCAGTGCTGCTGTTGGGTTGAGTGAAATGTTGTCAAAGTAGTAGATCATATCAAATGTTAGAATATGATAACATAAAGTAAAATGAAATGAAACAAAAATGGAACACGGAATAAAGTAGGATGACCAAGTTCTTATGCGAATTACATAGTAAGATCAAGACTATGGGGTAACGAAAGAGATCGTACAAATTGTTTTTGTACACAAAGTTCTGGCTTAATCGTATGTAATGCCAAAGCCTCAGTCACACAAATCTAATGCACTCGTGTCCCTTTCAGCAAACTTTGTCGAATTTTGTAGACTATATTAAACGATGTGTCAGATGCCGTGTGGTCAGTATCTACAATAAGTTGCAATATCGATGAATCAATACCTCTACGTTCTCCTTTGCTCAACCAAACTGGGAGGTGCTGTCGAACTCTGGTTGATATGTTTCTCGACGAACTTCCTATGTACCTAGCTCCACAAGAGTAGGTGATCATATAAATACACATGGAATTAGACAATCGAGGTAACACATCCTTGACACTAAGGTGCGCCAGTAGATGGCTAGAGTAGGTTGTTCATTAATTGGCAGCATAGAACGTTTTTCTCAAAGATCTCATCAACCGATTTTTAAGTACCTTAGTCTCACTGTAAACCTTAAATTCCAAGTTTAGATGCAACACTTTTTTAGCTACCTTGTCAATCTGTGTATTTCTTGCACGTAATTTGCTATTAGTCTCGACGAAAAGTGGTGGCTACCCGTTCTCTGCAAAAGTTTCTTTCAGTTGTTTGAGTTCATCATCAGCGCTGTCTTCACTACAAATTCTCCGGAACCATGTTGAAAGAGAACGGATTAGGTTCCTTTTTGTGTCTATAGGTACAAAACTCCAAAAATTGGTCAGTTGTCCTGTCCACGCTGATTTTCTGTAAACAGATCTTTTCAGAGTCCCATCAGCTCTCCTTGTGAGTTGCACATCAAGGAAAGATATTTTTCCTTCAGTTTCCTTTTCTAAGGTGAACCGGATGGCAGGATGACTGCCATTGAATACTTTCAGGATTTCATTCAAGCCACAGTTCTTGTCGCATATAATGCACGTGTCATCCACTTATCTTTTGTAGAAGGTAAGCCCCTTTATAGCAGATGTCAGAGTACTGCTCTTCATACTGAACAAAAAGAAATCTGTAAGCAGCAGGCCAAGTGGCGAACCCATAGCTACCCCATCTCTCTGTCTATAGATTTCATTGTTGAAAAGAAATTGGACATTTAGCGTATATCGAAGTATGAGCTCTATTAGGTATGATGTGGGCATTCCTACGTTTACATTAAGTAAATCTATGTAATTACAAATGAAGCATACAGCTTCATTCAATGGAACATTGCTAAAAAGTGAGAATACATCAAGTGATAATACAGTTTTCCCAGTACCATTAATATCCTTAACACAGTTTTACCATGTAATTCGCATAAAAAACTTCGTTATCCTTCTTTATTCCATGTTCCACTTTTGTTTTATTTCTTCTCACTTTATGTTATCATATTCTAACATTTGATATGATCTACTACTTTGACAACATTTCACTCAACCCAACAGCAGCACTGGGTGACGCTGGTTCGAATCTCAGAAGGGACATGAGTTCCTTCAAGGTTGCAGATACGCCTTGCTGACGAGTGCCAACTAGCACGAAACCTAGGTCCAAGGCTTCCTGTCGATTGCCTCCAACCATCTAATAACATTCCACTCATCCTACGTTTCCATCACATTATATTCACATTTCACTTCCGAATGTACTTTATTTTCCGATCATCTATTTCACACTTGTCTGTTGGACTTTAGGTTGACCTCTATCTATTTATTTAGTTGTTCATTCCCATATCTAATCCGCTTGTGACTCATAATCCTATACACCAATATTATTATAGCACTTTAGTATTTCCACTCACTGTCAAACTTTAACACACACACACACATAGGAAAACTGATAGTTATATATACATATATTTATTATATTTACGAGTTGATCACGGATTGATATCAGTTAGAGAACCATTGAAAACTAGGGAGTGCTGGACAGCTGTTTCATCCTAGTTTGGGAATCATTGTCAGTACGCACCCACTGGGGTTCGAATCCAGGGCGTTTCGGTTGCAAGTCAATCTCGTATACCATTCAGCCACTGAGACCCGATTCAATAGCCCCATGAATTCTAACTTCTACCAATTCGTGATTTAGCGCGACCACCAACCAATGTCATCGGTGGGACATCCATCCACACACTTCCCTGGATGGACCTCACTGGTCACGACTTCTCACTAGAACTCCAGGAAACTCCGTCCTGTAGCAAGTCACTAGCTACAAATCAACTATTGAAAATATATATATACGATTGTACATCTATGGAAATGAAATCGTCGAAGAAAGAATTTTCTTCTCTAAAAAATGTAAATATAAAAATTTTATGGTCCACAAAGCATTTACTCAAATAATTTATAGGCAGTTGAAGTGTTATGGACCTACTGATTAACCTGTGTAAATGTCAAAGCCTTGTCATTTCTAGTCAAAAGTCATTCCAAATACCTAATGTTTAACATAATGATTTTGAAATAAGTTTGACTACACTACAGTTCAGGAATATTTTCATTCTTCTCTACGTCAGTTAATTGCAGACACTTTCATTCCAGTTATGTTCCGAGTGAAACAGAGGGATTTGATCCTTTTTTGAAATTTCATTAGTAATAATTTTGTTTGTACAGGTTAAAATTGCTGGCCAAATCCCCAGTATTCCCTCTTCTCCGGGTTTAGCACAAGTTACGTGAGGTCTGAGAGTACATCGGCCAGGAGTTGAACTCTGACCTCCCACGTGATTGGCGAGCATGCTATCATTGAACCATCGAAGATAAGTTGTATGGGAAGTGAAATAAGTTTTCCACTACAGTTATCTTTGTCACACCAGTTACTTGTGATAAATTAATTGACTAAACAGTGTTTAGGTTATGTGCAGAGTTTTGAGTAAAGGTAGGGTTCAGTCAGAGAGTTTAGGGAAACAGTATTAACTGGGTTGTATGAAGTATATATTATACAGTTTGAGACAATTACTAGTTGAAAATAAAATACTATCAGAAGAAAGCTATGATAGCTGACACCATAAATAGTATCCTTTTTTGAGTTTCTGATTACTGAACCAAGACGTGTTGAAAGATTTAACAGTTAAGCTTTTAGAAATGTTAAGATGTAGTTGTTTAAACACCTGCCTAATATGTACCTGAAAGTAAATCAAAATCGCGCAGATATGTTAACACTTCATTACTCTCCAATCAACTACTCTCCTTCTTATAATCTTCCTATTTATCAAAACAATTTCACACTCTTAATTTCTCTTCTATCCTGGTACGGTTTTAAAATTTTTTGTAGAATTCTTTTCTTTTCTAATGTTAAAAGATTGAAGAAATGAAAAAAAACAGTGATATTTGTCTTATGTTAGATAGTGCATTTGTAAGTAAATATCGTATTTCATCGTGTTATGATTCGATCTCTTCAGTTGTAGCAGTTGCGTCGGTGGCACAGCGGTAGAATGCTCGCCAACTGCGCATGTGGTTAGACGTTTGATCCCCGGCCGACGCATCCCTTTACCTCGCTAAGCCAGTAATAAGACTGGCAGAGGGGGAAGGTTGGGCATCAGCCTAGGTAACTCCATCCTGTAAAAATAAACACCACTGCTACCGAAACTTCAAGCCTCTAGCTTGAAGCCCTATGTTCCACTGGGAACGTAAAGGAATGAAAAAAATTGTAGTCATTAGGTTTTGAATCCTCTGCATCAGTTTTTGGTGACTGAAGAGCATCAGCGACCACTACTTGAGAATTCTACACTATAATCACAGTATTCATTCATTTTAGTTTTACGGCACACACTATTCTTCAGTGGTGCATCGGTGGTTCAGTGGTAGAATGGTCACCGACTATCTGTATGGTCTGGAGTTTGATCCCTGCTCGATGCACTTCGAAACCTTGTTTAGCCGATTGCAAGCCCGGTAATAAAGACCGAAGGTTAGGTGTAAGGCTAGCGGTCTCACCTTGTAAAAAGAAGCACTACCGTTACTGAAACTTCAAAGCTCAAACCTGAAGCCCTGCGTTCTACTCGAAACGCTGAAGGAATGGAAAGAAAAGAGAAAATATTCTCTGATGAGAGGTTTATTGACACAGTATTTGGATATCGAGTATATAAAGTCAGCCATAATGCCTTCCTTTGTACGTTGCATTATTAAGATTTGCTGGGTGGAAACTAAGGAAACGACTTTGCATCTCTGTAATCTGTGTCTCCCAAGAAACTTAATAAGTCCACACATCACCTTGAAATCTTTGATTTTCTTAAATCTCTGCTAATAATTTTATATTTTTTTATCAAGTGATATACATTTTTTTAATGTTCACTCACATTTGGTTGATTGTTAAAACTCATAATTTTATTGAAAATAGTTTATTTTTTTCGTCAACCTATACTAATGCAATTAAATCATTTGTTAGTCATGCTTTATAGAAAATATAAAAGATAACCAGCTACTCGTGATATCAGTACTCAAGAAAAATGCTTAAACTTTCTTTTTTTCTATAAAGTAGTGAGACAGTTTAACCTTTTTCTTACTCATACGAAATATTTGCTTTCACCTACACATTATTACACATAACAAGCGAATTGATTTAAATCAGGTTTCTAACTACTACTAAGAATTATATTACTAATACTGTGGAGAAACTGATACTGATAGGGACGCTGATTCGAGGTTGGATAAAGTCTGTTCACGATAGCATGGAGCGTACAGGTGTGATGAAGGCCTGAGAGTTGTTGGTAGAAATACTATTGGTGGAGTTTGACAGCCCTATGAGCAGACAGCAGGCGACGCCGTAGTCCTTCATCACGAGGTGGGTGCTAAAGCCGATGGACTAACTTCACCGCGCACCTTCTACGGTTGACGAAGAGTTTGAAGCACAGTTATCGCTATCATTACCAACGAACGACATTATGTCGTAGGTTCTTTCTGTCACCCGAGATTTCATGAATAAGAATTCTACCCAGAAAGTTGACATATTTGAGGCATTCAGCCAAAAGATGAGTAAATGTTTATGAACTGGTTGTTGGTTTCTCGACAGAGTACCTATACATTGCCAAGCTTTGTTAGAAATATGTCGACTAGGTGTGTATTTTTGTCCTTAAACTGAAGGACCTATCACTTTTATGCAATGTGGTGTAAAATGTACATCTAGTATTAGTTGTCATTAATCGTTTTTTTATTTTTTTGGCATATAGATATACCAACCGATATTGAATTTCTTGGCTCTGAAGAAAAACCAGAACGTCTATTTCAACATTCAAGTCTACATCTAGATACTTGTACTGGTCCATGTTCTGATCCATTCATAGAAGCTAGATTAGAACTTAGAGCAGCTGTAATAGGTCAGAATTTGATAACTGCCAGTCCACAATCCTGCCGACATGATCCTGTTAGCATAAGAAGGCAACAAAAATTTTGTGGTAAGTCTGCATTGGATTGCTTTCTCTTCGTTTCCACAACTGGCTTGGGTGTAAAATGTGACATTTCTCTTTTGTTCACATTGTAATATCATGTGTAAATGAATCGTTATTTTGACTTTCAAAGCGTTGGTTTTCAGGCATTTGATTGATTTTAGGTTTTGACCACCCACAGACTTCATTAAGATAACCACTGAATAGCAGGGATTACTCAATAGCCATGTTGTCCTAGTTTGGGATTCTTCAGCATCATTCAACCATGACCCCTACAGGGATCGAACCTGAGACTTTGTGTTTTATTTGTGTTAGCATAAATTGAAGACTTATAGACTCCTGTTGTTTTTTTAAGAGAAAATTATAATGGTAAACCTTTGGTAGATAAGAGATTGCAAATCTGTAAACTCCATTCTTAATAAATTAGAACATGAGTAAGGCACTACTGAATAGTCTGGACTGTTCTTGTATTGAATCTTTGCCCTGTTTCCCATGCGAAATACAATTATTTATACTTCCAGTGTGATGTTCATGATTACATTCTGTGATATTATTCTAACACAAGTTGAAAAAATCACTTCCAGTCTGTTTATTCCTTTAAAAAGGCCGCATATTTATAACTTATATTAAAACAAACCTGACAAAAAGAAATAGGAATAATAACTCAATAACTTCAATAACCGTAATTCATATTACCAACTAAATTCTGTAGTCTAGATTGAAGAAATTTTGTCATACCTGTAAACTCACTGAACATCAGTTGGCACTAAACATACTCTTTATTCGTCTTTAGGGATTTTTAGTAATGCGCAACTTTGCTGTCACCAATCACCATCCCTTAATACTGTCAGGGTTTTCGGTCAGCATGTAGTCCATAAGTCATCTAGTTGAAGTGAACATTTAAGAATTTCAAATTTATGATTTTCTGTCCAATATTAACCTGATTTCTCTTGGAGTATTTGTTTTTTCTTTCACCAATTTCACAATCAGCCAACTTGAAAGCAGGAGTACATATATGTCGGTGAAATCAAATGATTGCTAAGTTATGTGGTAATTCAGTGGCAGCTAGTTATTTTAAGTCGTTAAACTTTAGTCAGCTGCCTACATGGTAATGCGCTAGGTATGTGATCTGTAGAATCTAAGCCTGTTATAATGTTCTACTGACTATAGATACCTAATCTATTAAACTACTTTAAGTTTGTGTACATTCCACATGCAATCACATCCTTTTCCACAGGAGTAAATTTGTTGCAAGTATATGAGCAAAATGTAGGTGTTGTCATTAATCTGTGCTTCATAATCAGTGGATTTATGTAGACTATGATTGAAGTATTTAAGATAATATTATATTAGCATACTCAGTTTTATACACATACATGGTTAGATGCCAAGAAATTCTGACACACCACACAATTTAATGTAACACCTTATTGGTTTGTATTCTGGTGTTATTTTAAATACTGACTGTACTACTGATACGCTGCATTCTACCGACCTTATTAAATGCAGTATGCCTAATTACCCACCTAATCAGCACATTGACTAACTCATAAGGTACTGATAACAAAACAATCTGATGCTCACTAGCGACTGGCGCTATTTAGGCAGTGACCTGGAGTTCTAATAGGAAGCCGTGACCAGTATGGTACGGCAGGCTGAAGGTGAGGACAGTTACTCATCGAAGACATTGCAAAATGGTCGCGCTATGTCGTGAATTGCCAGAAGTTAGAATTCATGGGCCATTAGATCGGGCCCCAGTGGTTCAATCGTCTACGAGCTCGCTTTGTAACCAGAAGGTCCTGGATGGGTAGGTTCGTACTGATGAAGAGTCCCAAACTAGTCCGACGAAACAGCTGGCCAGTACTCCCAGCTGGTTTTCCAGTAGTTCTCTAACTGATGTCGACTCTTGATGAAATCCCCCATCCAATCAAATCAAAAAGACTCATTTATTCGAAAATATACTCTGGTGAGTAATATACTTATTCACCAATGTAGCTTTCATGGAAACAGTGGACTTCATATGTGAAGAACTCAAAAGACGAAACATTCATATTAATTAGCCTAATTTATGCACCCAAAAGAAGTTAGTCCAGTCATTATCATTACCTTGGTCATCCAGTTTTGAATAATCCAGAATTTTTGTGAAATTTCCCTAATTTCAGTTGATATTCTATTCGCTACTATATCCTAATTATTATCACTATAATTTAAGCATCTTTAATGAACTGCAATAGCATTGACCATACTTTACAAATCGATATTATTTAAAAAAACGCTAATATTGCTATTAACTACTAATTTAAAATATTCTGTGTGTAAAAACATATATATAATTGTAGAGCCTGGAAGAGGAATTTACCGAAAAGAATATTCTTTGCTCGATTATTTTGTGTTTTATACAAAAAGTAAGGTTATTTAGGGGAAAGATTTTAGAACTCATCTGGTTAGTATGGGTAAACTCTCAGAAAATGAGTGTTACCAGGGCATAGAAGAGCACTAAATGGCATCCGAGCTTGACTGGATGCATATTCGCATGCATATTTGCTGAAACAAAACTTGAAACACCTGAAGCATGCTCAGATGGGCTAGATGTTTATTTAGTTAATATTAAGTTTATTCAATGTGATCTATTAATTTTATCCCTAGGTCTATTTTGCTGCCTCAGAGGGTACGCTACACTATATTAACTGAGTTGCACAACTATATTAGTAACTAGATTCCATTGAAATTAAAATGAATACCTGGTAGGTGGATAATACGCACCTACTTCAGTCATTAATACCCTAAAATGATGATCTTAAAAGCATTAAGTTAAAGGTCCTCTTTATCTAACTTGTTTGTATTGTATAACTAAAGAGTAATTAGATGGTGTGACATAATTTTCTGATAGACTTTGATTTGTATTAAAGAGGTACTGAAATTAATTAAAATTAGGACAAATTCTGTTATGACTGAGGTTTTAACTCAGTTTTATTCATTATGTTTGAAGGAATTTAACTTATACTCTACTCCTTACAAAACATCTACTCTTCTAAAGCCACGGCTTTTCACTTTATTATAGACAATCCCAGTGATGTCTATGATTTGTCATATTACCATGTTTTAATAGATGACATGACGGAAATACTTTTCATACAGGCAATCAAACTGTCAGCAAAGCGTATCTGCAACCTTGAAGGAACTCTTCGGAGACATGAGTTCCTTCAAAGTTGCAGATACGCCTTGCTGAATGCCAACTAGCCCGAAACTTAGGTCAGGCGAAACTTCCTGCCGATTACCTCCAACCATTTAATATCATCAAATCAATGTGCACCATGATGGCGAGCTACGTAGAATGGTGGCCACACTGCAAACCTGACTGATAGAATTCAGTCTGCACCAAAGAAAGGACTAGACACATCACACTAGTTACTAGTGTCCAATCAAAGTGTCAATGAAGCTTATCCGAAAGATCGATGTATGTTCTACCTCTGATAGTTTCACATCATCCTTATTTGTGTAATTATATCTGTAGCACTAGGGTACAAAAATGACTATTCACCACTGCTTCGTACTGACTGAATGCATTTTGCAGCATAGAAATTCGAACAAATGTCCGGTAGTTCAAAATGCACGCACTAAGGTAGAAATTATGTACGGGAGAAACTATAACTACATGGAGAATAATCAGGATTATAGGGGATCTGGCTGGTAATCATGACGCTTTTATGTAAATATCATTCAGTGCAAAAAAGATGCATACACAGAACCTTGACATTTTCAATTTTTTTAGATTAGTATAGCTGCAGTAATCATCCATATAGGGAGAGATTAATCACTGAATATTTGTTCATCCAATATGCATCTAACAGGTGTAATATAAATGACTTAATACTTACACCAAAGCCACGGTAAATGTCATTACCAATATAAATCAAAGGATAAGAAACAATGGCCAGTGACCAGTGGGGTCCATCCTGTCGGGAGTGAGGATAAATGCTCGCCGATGAAATTGGCTGGTGGTCGCGCTAAAATCATGAAGTGGTATAAGTTAGAATTCATAGGCTTGTCATTGAGTTGAGTCCCAGTGGCTGAATGGTCTACGAGCTTGACTTGTAACCGGAAGGTTCTGGGTTCGAATCCCAGTGGGTGCGTACTGCCGATGATTCCCAAACTAGGATAAAACAGCAGCTGTCCAGTACTCCCTGGTTTTCAATGGTTCTCTAACTGATATCAATCCGTGATCAACTCGTGAAAACATAACAAACCCTTACAAACCAAACTACAGAAAATTAGTCTGATGCTTGCTAGTGACTTGCTACAGGATGGAGTTTCCTGGAGTTCTAGTGACAAGTCGTGACCAGTGAGGTCCATCCAGATGTCACGTGTGTGGATGGATGTCCCACCAACGACAATGGTTGGGGTCGCGCTAAATCACGAATTAGTAGAAGTTAGAATTCATGCACTGGTCACTGAATCGGGTCCCAGTGGCTGAATGGTATACGAGCTTGCCTTGTAACCGGGAGATCCTGGGTTCGAAACCCGGTGGGTGCGTACCGACAGTGAGTCCCAAACTAGGATGAAACAGCTGTCCATTACTTCCTGGTTTTCAATGGTTCTCTAACTGATATCAATCCGTGATCAAATTTGAAAAACAGATCAACTATTGAGGAATTATATAAACAAAGATTGCAAATTAGTTGTGTGAGTGCTTTGATATGACTATAAGCACTAAATTGTGCTTGAAACATCATCACTAAATAAATGACACTAGATCACTCTCTGTTTTATATTAAATTCTGTTCAGCAGTAAATAAACCTAATGATTACATGTATCATATTAGTTGTACAATGTCTTCTATTCTTATTTTTCAGGCTTGAATCCGTCTACTATTACAAATTTACTTCCTGATCCTGAATATGATATAGTCAATCAACTGATTGGTCCAGCGTTGGGTAATTCACCACGTTTAATTCCATCACTACTTGCATGGAGATTTGATGCAGCTTCGTCGACTGTCTGGGAAGTGGATACAAGCCGTTTATTTAATCATACAAAACAATCATTTAGTTGGGATTCTGATTTCACTATATCTTTTTGGCTTAGACGACATAAGGCTAATAACTATTTAAATAAAGCAAATATTGAAGATCATGAAGAATCAATAATTTGTAGTCATGATGATATTGGTAAGCAAATGAAATATTTAGTGACTAACTCAACTTGAATTGCAAATTGAAGAGAAAAAGTTTTCTGATATACTGAAACAACATTTATTCAAATTATTTAAATGATCCTAGTTACTTGTCAGGTTAATGGATAAAGCTTTGGCATTTGAAGCGATATACACTGGATTCAAGTTTCAGCAGGAACACGTTCATTCGTTAGAAGGTAGTCATACTCAGCTGATGAGTTCCAAGTAGAACGAAACGCTCATCTTATTCTCCACTACCAGTGACTACCAACCAAGTGACTTCGAGTCATTAATAATAGTAATATTGAGGCATCCGTTCAAAGAGCCCACATTCTTAAATAGGGCTGAACAATTCGGTCTAGATATATCAATTGGAAATCAAGTACATTAATGTGGGCTGTCGCTATTGTTGAGTCCCAGAGATGTATTTAAGTACTTTAGATAAGATACACGATGTAAATATTTACTCATCCAAAATTTTAGCTGTATATGTTTGTCATAATATTTCATTCTTAGTATAATTCAATGTCCAAAAATGATTCTGTAAAGTTTACGAAGTGAATAGCTTTGTGAAATTGTTCCTTACTATGTCGACATTTTTTGAAAAATATTGTTAAGCATCAAACCATAATCGGTGGTCTATCAGTGTTAATATTTTTCTTCATTCCTCATCAGACGGATTCAGGCTGTAAAGTTTCAGTAGCGGTGATGTTGTTCCTCACAGGATGGTTTTGCTAGCCATACACCCAACTTTCCCTCTTCTCCAGGCTTACAGTCGGCTAGCAAACTAGATGAGGATTAGGAGTTCATTGGTTATGAATAGGAACGTAACTACCAGCGTGACTGACAAGTATCCTACTGTTGAAGCAGTAATGCACAAACTGACGTTACTAGTCAAAGCAGCAAGATGAGATCCCCCCCCCACAAGTACTGAAAATTGATATTCTCAAGCCACTGTTACAAAAAATTTGGAAGGGAAGAAAGGCATCTGCACATTGGAAGAAGAACGACTTAAGACTTCTCAAGAGCTGAAGAGGAATCAAAGAATTCAGCGAAGAAAATTCTTTCTTCGACGATTTCATTTTCATAGCTGTACAATCATGTATATATACAATAGACAATAACATTCAGTTTTCCTGTGTATGTGCGTGTGTGTGTTAAAGCTTGACAGTGATTGGAAATACTAAAGTGCTATAATAATATTGGTGTATAGGATTATGGTGCGTCGGTGGCATAGCGGTTAGGACGCTCGCCGACCATACACATGGTCCGGGGTTCGATCCCCGGCCGGCGCACTCCTTTACCTCACTAAGCCAGAACTGAAGCTGGTAAAGAGGAAAGGTTGGGTATGAGGCTAGCAAGCCCATCCTGTAAAAATAAACACTGCTACAGAAACTTCAAGCCTCTATCTTAAAGCCCTATGTTCCACTGGGAAAGTGAAGGAATAATATAAAAATAGGATTATGAGTCACAGTTGATTATATATATGAAATATTAATCCTCAGTGCTCTAAAAAATGCTCTGGATGCTAAACTCCACTCAGAACAAGCTGGATTCGTGAAAAGCAAATTATGTGCGGACCAAATGGCAACGCTACACATCATCATCGAACAGAATATAGAATCGCAGTCAAATCTTTACATGAAATTCATCAGCTTTGTAAAGGCCTTCGACAGTCTCGATCATGAAGTAATTTGGTAGCTGCCTCAACAAAACGGAGTGCCTCAAATCCTTATTAGACTCATTAAACAGCTTTATAATTGAGGCACATGCTACGTTATTCACATAGAAATGCTCCACGAAGCCTCTGAAGTGAAGACAGGAGTAAGACAATGCAAGATAGGCCTTCATTACTCTAAATCAGTGTAGAAATCTACTGCGCTCATCGTAAAGAGTGAAATTCGGGTTTTCAACACTTATTTCAAGTCATAACTCCAGTATGCTTCAGTAAATTAGCGAGCGCATCAGCGAAAGCATTTCCAACAGACTTCAAACTTTCCCTAGCAGTTAGCTTCGCTACATACTAAAGATCAAGTGATCGATAAAAAAGAATAAGCAACAAGGAACTCTGGAAACGAACTAACCAAAAAACTATCGCCCAACAAATACTCCAAAGAAAATGGAGATGGATTGGACATAGACTGACGAGACCGTCAAGTGATGTCACACCTCAGACCCCCGAGTGGTAAGCCAGTGGGAAGGGACGAGTTGAACATTAGTCGCAGAGGGACTTGGAGGGTATCATGTGGGGAGAAGATGAAAGCTTGGGGGATGTCATAGGGTCAGCTAAGAATAACTGCAGAATACAGAGTGGAATGGTGATATTCTGCCGAAGCCGTATATTCCACTAGGAACCCAAGAGAGTAATAATAAATAATGACAATAAATGCCATAAGGAAAATATTTTTTTCAAAGATCCTGCTTCATTTATGGTATTTTTGTTCAGTACGTAAAATAAGGTGTTTAAATAAACGACTGATAAATATTTTATTATTTATTTTCCTTTAAGAACCTGAATGGAGATATTTATCTGTTAATCTACGTGGATGTCGATTCATAGTGAGGATTATGTCATCTGCACCTGGAACAAATGTAGATGATCCAAAAAAATCTACAATATGGATATTTGATCCATTACCAGAGGATATTTGTTCACAGTCTACTGGACATGATGATGGAATTTGGCATCATTATTCAATTACATTTAGTTCATCGCCATCAGCAGTTACAAATGATCCCATAAGTATATTAATCGATGGTCAAGATCTAGACATTAAAGCTATGCCTACAGATTATGAATCTGTTCAGTCTACTTCAAATCCTTTCAAATATCAAGGGAAACCAAGGTAGGTGAGAAAACTTTTATTTGAATAATAAACGAAAAGATAAATTGGTGTAAACTTGAATTGTTAAATTGAATTACTACAACTTTTTTAAAACATACTGTGTCTTGAATTGAATAAAGTGCTTTCATGTCAGCATCATATTGATAACAGCTTAAAAGAAGCTGAAAACTGTGGACCAGATTGTCTAGTTGAATGGCCTTAAACTCCTAAAACGTATCCACAACTACCATCATGGACGCTTATCCTATACACCATCAGCCTATACTTCCGTCAAAAAATTGAACATAGTGAATTATTTATTCCACTTGCTATTTATACCCAGTTAGTCCCTTTAAGAGCCCTTTCTTTGGCTGACTATAAAAGGCATGTTACTGTTAGGATGAATAAGCTTCTGTATTAGACGTGAATTTATGGTTTATGCATGTACTGACATGATAACCTGATTGGATAGTTTTGATTCGTTTATTTATGGCTTAATTCTGTAAGGTCAAGCAACCAATCAGATTTGTTTAAACTATAGCTTCAATTTCTGAGGGTCTGTAAATATAAGACACTACGTATTTTCTCTAATAAAGGTTGTTACGGTTGTTAATGGTCGCTCCTGCCATCGGTTTTTCCAGTCTGACTTTTGTATCTATCTCAGTGTGAGAGATTATTATCAAGTGATCAGTGGGTTATACTGTCGTGTTCTAGGGGCGCATTCTAGTCAAGTTAGATGAACCCACAACCCAGTAACACTCCGTCATAAAAGTTGCTATACTATTTAAATATATTAGAACAAAAGAGTACACACTACTGTTCACCTAAAAAGCGGTTTTTGAACGGCTTGAATATCCCTTTTACAGGCAGTTCATTTTCAGCCTACTTTCCCATTGTGAAGTCAGTGCTACTATACGGATCAGAGACTTGGCGCGTCATAAAGAGCATCTCAAACAAACTACAGACCTTCATTAACAGTTGTCTTCGCTCAATACATCAAGATCAGATGGCCAGCCAGAAAAGATCAGCAACAGAGAGGGATCTCTGGGAGCGAACCAACACAGCAGGAACCAATTGTGAAACAAATAGGCAGGAAGAAATGGAGATGGATTGGCTGGCCATACTCTGAGGAAACAATCCATCAAGTGACATCACTAGACAAGCCATCACTCGAGTGGAACCCGAAATGGAAGCGGCGAGTTGGTCGTCAGTGCGAGGGTGGGTGACTTGGAGGAGGTCATGTGAAGAGGAGATGAAAGCATGTGGGCAGACTTGGAGCCAGGTGAAGACTCTAGCAGAGAACCGAACGCAATGGAGACGCACGGCTGAAGCCCTATGTTCCTCTAGGAATTAAAGGAAACAATAATAATAAATAATAATTCAAAAGTGCAATTTTCGATTGTCATTGTCACAAATGTATTAAAACACACAGTTTGATTAAACTAGAATTCTGGGAAATTTATTCTAATACATTTAAATATTCCAGTAACATGATTGTTAAACGATTAGCCATTTTTAACAATGTGTATAAATATGTAGATATTTAAATAAGCCAAGTTACCTCTACTGACAGAATCACCCTGCATAAACTCAGCACCATTAGTTTTATGATCCTACCATAAATTTCTTAGGAAGGAATTGCTCTAATTTCTGTTGAAAACAATGCCTCATAAATGATTTAGTCAGTGAGTGTAAGGATCATGTTTTAATTCAGTAGTAGGTGTGAAACAAAACAAATAAAAGTACTACAAATACGAGGTAGAAATCCTCCCTACTGTCATAGAATGATTGCTTCTTATCCAAAATATATAAATTATTTCAACGTGTCTGTTCAGAGGATTGCTTATTTACATTTAAATAATCGACGTCAAACAAAATCTACCAAATAACCTATGACAGAATTATTAAAGTACCGTAATGAATTTATGACTGTTTTACTTGGAAATAAAGGTAGGAGTAAAACAAGGTAGCACCGATGTCCTTCCTAATTGTGGTAGACTAGATGATGCAACAGAGAGTGGGGAGTGAGGAAACGGAATTATGTCGAATCGAGAAAAAGACACTAGAAGATATGAACTTTTCTGGTGATTTATCTGCCGAACCCGATCATATACAGGCAAAAACCAACAAGTTGACAGATTAGGCTACCATAGCAGCACTTCAAATGAACATAACGAAGACATAGGCGATGAAGATACCTAACTAATAACTACAAACACTAATCACAACCAATAAGAGAAGTCTAAAGGAAGTCTCTTTTTTCACTCACTTGACCTGAACAGCATCGTCTCAACTACAAGCGCGTGTCAAAGAGAGCCATGTCCTCATCGACAAAGCAAGACATGCCTTCATCACTCTGAAGTAAGTGTGGAGATCAATAGGACTCAGTACGTGGAACTAGATCCGAATTTTCAACACATGCGTTGGGTCAGTACTTCTATACGCTCCAGAGACATTGGCGCGCATGCCAGCAAGACCATTTTCAAGAGTCTACTAAAGACTTTGTTCCTCACCAAGGTCCAGATGGCAGGTCAAAAATGACAGACAACAAGAGCCTAAACAACATTAAATCTCCCAATAGATATGTAGAAAGAAATGGAATAGACATTTACTGATGAGGTCATCAAGTGGCATCACACGTCAGGCCCTCGAGTGTGACCTGAATGGGTTTGGCACTCGAAAATGATGTGGAGGAAATCATCTGAATAGGAAATGAAAGCCGATGGACAGTTTTACAGCCGGTCTAATGTGATGACAGTGAGCCGATTACAATGGAAATGTGACAGATGACGCCTATTATTCCACTCAGAATGCAAGGAATAAATAGCAACAATAATGATAATCACCTACGCAATGGAGGAATCAGCTGTCAGTGTTGAAATTCTTGAATTATAATCTATAAGGTGAAATGAAGGGAAGTGAGATAGTGAAAAACAAAAGCTTTTATAATCTTGATTGTGAAATAAATACTCTACGTTTGCTGCATATAAAAACTGTTAGTGGGGGTGGGGTCCAAAACAAGAGTGGCTCATAGCCTGATAAATCAAAAATCTTATCCAGTTAGCGGAGTTCCACCTAAAGTATTGACAGATCCAAGTGACTAGTTTACACAAACTTTCATTAAACTCTTCGTTTAAACTTTATCAATCTGTCATATTCTTCAGCATCAAGTACAGTACAGCTTATATCATAATTGCGAAGAATTATTTATTATTATTACGTCATCCTGCGCCAAGGGTATATGCATTATACATATCTAGCTGTTTTGATTGGCTTCTTCTGTCCCACTTGTTTACTGTGATTAAGAAACCTTTTTTTGCAACAGAAATTCAAATGAGATATACATATAGGATGAAATGATATAGAATCTAAAACACCATATTTTTATCCCTAAGGCAAAAAGGTAAGCTGAAGTTTACTTTTATCTTTGATTCGTTTTTGTCTGAATAGATACTCAGTGGAGGCTAATTTCAGTCAGTGATGATACCGGAGACGTTAGTCTTACGAACTAAGAGGAATCCTTATAAGTTGTGTGATTCCTGAGCTGCATGCTTTAATTGTCAAGCCCTTACTGTCTTCCTAAACAGCGTATCCAGCTACATACACAGATTGTCTAGAAGGACAACGAAAGCTTCTCCGGTAAACCACCTCACTCAGAGTACACAACTAAAGCGGTACACTCCGAGTAGAACATACGGCTTCAGGCTGAAAATCTTGAAGTTTCAGTAGCCGTGCAGTTGTTTTTTTTACGGGGGAAGGTTGCTAACCTGACACCTAACCTTCCTTCTTTTCCAGAACTTACTACTGACTATTAAACTGGGCCGAAGTTAAAGAGTCTGCTTGCCGGGAATCGAAAACTCCACCACATGCGTAATAAGCGAGAATTCTACCACCGAACATCTGATGCACAAAGCGCTATCCACTAGACCACTTGGGTCATGATAATTGAATTATTTCTGATAAAATAAAAGAAACTCACCTTATTTATACTTCTTACAAAAACGTTTACGTCTCATCGCATTGTTCCATGTCCCCCTATAATAACTGCATAGATAGATCACCCCAACTAGGAGTCAGCTACGTGCTAAATCAGTATTTGGAAGGAATATTGTTTTTCTGGTAAAAATTACATATTACAACCTCATCTAATATCGCATGGGTGAAATAATAATTATATTTAATCACAAAATAAGCAGCTTTAATATTTATTCTTTTCCTTCTGCTTTAATTATAGATCTATGAATGCATTTCATCCTTATAATTTAACTCCTACCAGCTATGTCATTAACTGGGCGCATGCTTATAAGAAATTTTAAAAGTAACTAGGAAAACAAACTTTCACAGAATTCTTATTCTCTCTCTTTTTATTCTTCTCATGTTAACTAACACTCATCTGGAGTAAATGTTGATGCTTTATTCTATACTTTTTTTTCCTCATAGGCTAACAATTGGAGCATGTTATGATCCTCAAACACATCTGACAAGGCAACATTTAAACGGTGATTTGACTGGTTTTACACTTCTACAAGAAAAGACTGAATCACCAAATTCCCTAAGATGTATTAGTCAGTGTGGTGAAGCTTTACTTATTCCGAATGTTTTACAGGTAACTTTTGCGTTTTTTTTTGTTTTTCCCCTTCCAGAATAAACTGTATAAAGTTTGACAACAGACTGATATCAGTTAGAGGTATTGGACAGTTGTTTCGTCCTTGTTTAAGACCCATTGGAAACACGCACCCACTGGGGTTCCAGTTCAAGACCTTCCGGTTACAAGTCAAGCTCGTAGATCATTCAGCCACTGAGATCGGACTCAGTGACCGGCCCATGAATTCTAACTCATACCAATTCATGACTTTAGCACGACCACCAGATAATGTCATCGGTAAATATTTGTCCTCACTGCCGACTGGATGGACCCCACTTGTAATGACATCTCACTAGAGCACCAGTCAACTTCTTCCTGCAGCCAGTCACCTGCGGTCAAAATTGAAATAAAACCACACCTTACAAAAATAAGTCTTGAATATAAACTGTACAGTTAACTTATTGTTGACTAGTTAATTATCTAACTACTTCTCCATGATAAACCAAAATATTTTAGAAAAAAGTTTTCATTTAAAATATTTCAGTCATCACAGCTTGAATTTTATTTCTGGTCTTAACATTTCTAGTCTAGACTGTTTTAAGGAGTCAGTCGGTAGGAGGGCCTTAGTAATTAGTATTATGCATAGTATGACTGAAATGTTTGTTAAAATAATACTCTTAATAGTTTGTTTGGTTTCGCCTTTTTGATAAATTTATAATAATGCAGGTTTTTGGGCAACTATCTAGCTAGCTGTGTTACAGAATTTGAGTTATTAAAATTCTGGAATAGCCTTGAATTTTGAAATTGCCATTTATGAAATGGATGATAATTTATGTTGAAATGATAATCTAAGTTGTAGCGGGATTTCAACTCAACTGGTAGAATACCAAGTTAGTAACCCTAATCTTCCCACTGCCCTGATTTTCACTTCCCCTTCAGTCATAAGCAGGGAATCACTGAGAGAAGGAACAGTAGACCAAACGAGTCAAGTATTTTTCCTGATTAGATTTTCAGAAAACAACCGAGATAAAGTCCTACTCGGGACTCATCAGCTGGATCTACTTGGATTCTGAATCAGATTCATACCCAGAACCCGTCGTTTTAAATACAGTTTTTTAAAATAATGGACAAATTGCACTTACCTAACCTTAAACCTTCATTGAAGGTCCCCAACGCCCCAAAAGCATTTACTTACAAACATGATAGGTGTACTTTAGATGTCACTTATGGCCATATTATTATCTCTAGTTTAGACAAATGTGCTAAATATGTTCACTGTGCCTTTCTAGATTACACATCTGCCTTTTTACTCTGTTCTAAGGCATCTTTTTTCAAACAAATTTGCTGTGACAGAAACAGGGTGCTGGTCGGACTCCTATTTTTCTGATAGGAAGCACTACACTGTATATAAAGAAAAGTTTTCCGCTGCTTTGCTTACTGTAGCCGGTGTCCCTCAAGCTGGTTTTCTTTTCATCGTTACTGTTTTCTTTCTTCTTGCATGACTTTTTTATATTCTATTGGAGCCAATTTTGTTAAGTATGCCTAACCTTCTATGTAAAGAAGTTCAAACAATCTGGTATCACTCAGTATCTACTTTGACTGTCTGTTAATTTTTGTATTTGACCATTTCTTCTTCATTGCTCTCCCTGGGCTACTTAAGAAAGATTTTTTTAAACTGCAAAGGACAAGTGGCGTGTCGCTAAGCTAACTCGATAATACTGTTATGGACCGACATTTGAATTCATGTGATGAACTGTCAAGAATCATCTTGTAGGACTCTAAGCATCCTCTTGACACACAACACTCTTTTTGCATCTTATCAGTTAGGACTGGAAGAAATTACAACAGACTATATGCCTTGAATGACTCAATAAAAAAACTCAACAACGCTCTATTGGGCATGCACTGTCTGTAGTGAGAAAAGCGGTAGGTATTATTATTATTGTTCCCTTGGGTTCCTAGTGGAACATAGGGCTTCAACTGCACGTCTCCACTTGCTTCTGTCTTCTGCTGTACTTTTCACCTGCATCCATGTTAGTCCATACTGTTTCAGCTCCTCTTCACACGATCTCCTCCATGTCACCCTTGCACTGACGTCCCACTCGCCGCTTCCCTTTCGGGTTCCACTCGAGCATTGGCCTGACGCGCGATATCACCCAACGGCCTCCTCAGCCAGTGAGTGTCCAATCCACCTCCACTTTCTCCTGCATATATGTTGGGCGATTGTTTTGTTCTTGTTTTGTTTGTTCCCATAGTCTCTTGTTGGTGATTCTTTCCGGCCATCTGATCTTCAGTATAGAGCGAAGACAGCTGTTGATAAAGATCTGCAACAGGCTGTTAGAAATATTCTTTGTGACCCGCCGCCAAGTTTCTGATCCGTATAGAAGAACTGACTGACTTGACGTTTGTATTGAAAATCCGAATTTTGTTGTTGATGCTGAGTGACGAAGATTTCCAGATTGGTTTGAGGTTGATGAATGTGTTTCTCGCCTTCCCGATTCTCGATTTGACATCCTCGTCCGTTCCTCCTGTAGTTGAGACAATGCTCCCTAGATAAGTGATGAATGAAGTAACCTCTTTCAAATCCCTCCCGTTGATGGTGATTGGCGCTGGATGTTGCTGCTGTGTGGTTGGTTATTTTCATAAACTCCGTCTTGTCTATGTTCACCTGGAGTCCTGTCTTCTTTGCTGCTTCTTCGACCAGTTTGTCGGTTTTCGCTTGTAAGTCTTCGATTTTGTGTGACATCAAACATAAATCATCCACGCGCGAAATCCAAGTCTTCTAGGTTCTTCACGTCGGTTCAGGATATATATCCCTGTCTTCTCGTTTCCCACTGTCTGACGCATAATCCAGTCCACCACAATTAGGAATATCATTGGTGATAATAAGCACCCTTGTCTGACTCCTGTGTTTACTCCAAACGCCTCACTGAGTTTTCCGTTGTGGATCACTTGACATGTGCCGTTGTCGTACAGCTGTTGAATAAGGTTGATGAATATTTGGGGTATGCCGTAGTACTTGAGTAGTTTCCAAATTACTTTGCGGTCAACGCTGTCGAAGACCTTTTCAAAGTTTATAAAGTTGAAACAGCAAATAAACGTTTTTTATTTTTATCATTAATATATTGTCGTCACTACTTCTATTAATTTTTATGTTCTACATTTATATTTTTGTGGACATTATGCCTGTAAATGTCCTGGTAATTATTTGTAATGTAAAGAGAAATTTAGATGCAATACTGTATCACACGCTGAGGATTCCACACTGAATCAAATTTACTGTTTGGAATAAAGTCATTTATTATTATTATTACTGCCATCCAAGGAGTCACTGAGCCACACCATCACTAATCGGAAATGCAGGCACATCCAGCTGATGGATCCTACGTAGGACGAAGCATATCATCCGAATTCTACCAGAAAGCACCAGATTTAGCTAAAGGGCATTGCTGAAGCCTATGCACTAGGTAGCAGCCAACGTGTTAATAGAGGCCGAGCATTATAGTTCAATATAAATAAGTTGAAGGGAAATACAACATATTAACCTAATTAGGTATAACTAATTTCATCTGAAATTTGAATTACATATCACAAAAGTTTTCTCAGATTAGTATTTAGCAAAAATTCTGCTTCTTTTGTTGAATGAAATATTTAATGAAAAACCCTACTTTTGTTCATCACACTGAGAACAACACAGCATCTATTTAACATTCTTATAAGACAAACTCAAGTGGTTAAGAAAACTGGTGTTTTGTACTTTTTTTTCTAAAATCTCATGAGAAAATGAGATAGATAAAAATGATTACTTTGTAACAATATCGAAAGTAACATTTTCCTTTCTATCTCCAACTTTGGTTAACAAGAATGAAATCATTGCTAAATTGGACGAGACAACTTAATTGAATAAGTTAACTGAAAGGATGATATTTGAAGTGGATTGTAGCATACTAGAGAAAATGAGTGAAAAAAAAGAGTAGACAGGTAAGATAAGGAGGAATCGAGATAATTGAAAAAAAAATAATAATAAAGTTGATTTCTAGCTGAAAATGGAAATGAAAATTACCTTTTTGCTTCATCAGCTTTGATACGAAGCTTTGTCACATCAGCAGAAGCACTAACCTCAGTTAGAAGTGAGGTATTTTTAATAGTAGTTTTGAAACTATAGGGAAGATTTGTAGTTCTGATGAATGATTTTGAGATTGTGTTGTGTTCTCTGAACTGATTGATTCATTTGTGAGGCTTCCTTCATCTAAAAGGTCCACGATTGCACATAATCTCTCATCTCCTCCTCACATGATCCCTTCCACATCACCCTCTCACCGATGACCCACTCGTCGCTTCCCATTGATATTCCACTAGAGTGATGGCCTGCATTGAGTTTGATTTCATTCGACGGCCTCCTCAACGTATGCCCGATCCATCTCCATTTTCTCCTACATATTTGTTGAGTAATCGGCTTTTGGTTGGTTTGTCCTGCCAGCCAGAGTTTCTTGTTGCTAATTCTTTCTGGCCGGCCGACCATTTGATCTTCAGTATGGGGCCAGCTAAGGCAGCTGTTGATAAAGGTCTGTAACTTGTTGAAAATCCTTTTCGTGACACGCAGTGCAAGTTTCTGACTCGCATAGAGGAACTGACTGACTTGACATTGGTGATGAAGATCAGAATCTTGTTCTTTATGCTGGTTGAGTTAGTGCAGAAGATTTCCAAACTGGTTTCAGTTTGATGAAGGTGTATATTGCACTTCCGATTCTAGCTGGCTGCCTCTGACATCTTCATCCGTTCCACCTGTGGTTGAAACCGTGCTTTCCAGATAAGTGAAGGAAGTAACCTCTGTCAAATCTATCCCGTTGATATTGATTGGTGCTGGTTGTCGTTCTTTTTGGTGCGTAGTTATCTTCATCACCTCCGTCTTCTCAGTGTTCACGCGGAGTCCTGTCTTTACTGGCTGCTTCTTCACTCGGTTTGTTGGTTTTCGCCTGCAAGTTTGCGTGATGCTAGACATACATCATCTGGGGAATCCA